AAAGAGATGTCACCATATGGGTTATGAATTGAGTGTTATGTGTAAGACATTGCCATATTAAGGTCGAAGGTGCTGGCAGATGAATGTCTCTCCCTGGAATTGGAAGGCATCTCCATATCGAGGTTGAAAAAAATGGCAGATGAATGTATTCCCCTGGAACTTGATGGTATGCTAAAAGAAGATGGGTTAGCCACTAACAACATGAAATCATTACAGATTGTTTGAGTTGGTCTGTCAACTTGATCAACTGGTTCAGGCAAGCCATAGTGGGAGGATAGGGACATACCCTGAACTACATGCACGTCAAAAAAAGTGGCATACATTTCTGTAATAGAGTTAAAATTTTGACTGGAATCATCAACCATCATAATAACATTGTCGTCGTTTGAGAGATTGAACGATGTATATGTTAATGGAAAATTTTCAGTCAGAAATCTACACTGAAGTGTAACTAGTCTTCTATTGTTTCCAATATGAGTCTTCCTTGAGATTTTTTTGATTAAATCATTAGAAGTGATGTTTCTCCTGAAGGATAGAAGGATATAATGATCTGATCAAAAAACAAACCCGTATTCATTTTCCCTAATTTCTTGATCATAGTAAACAAAAGCTGAAATAGAAGCCATTTTCTTAGTTTGAGAGTTTCAAAGTTTGAACGTTTGAGAGTTTGAGATTTCAAAGATACAAAGTTTTAGAATTGAAGAGTTTAAGATATTGAGGGTTGGGGAATAATTCATGTCAATTATGTGAAATGACATAGATTCTCTGAATAATAATGGAAAATGCCTCCCCTAGAATGCGTCTTTCATTTCGAATGGGATGGAACACTATGATATGATAGAGATTCTCTGAATAATAATGGAAAACGCTTCCCTGAACATGTCTTTCAATTCGGATGGGATGAAACATTATGACATGGCAGAGATTCTCTGAATAATAATGGAAAACGGTTCCCCTAGAACACGCCATTCATTTCGAATGGGATAGAACACTATGACATGATAGAGATTTTCTGAATAATAATGGAAAATGCTTCCCCTGGAACGCGCCTTTCATTTTGGATAGGATGGAACACTATGGCACGGCAGAGATTCTCTGAATAATAATGGAAAACGATTCCCATGGAATGCACCTTTCATTTGGGATGAGATGGAACACTATGATATGACATATATTCTCTAAATAATAATGGAAAACAATTCCCCTTGAACGCACCATTCATTTCGGATGGGATGAAACATTATGGCATGGCAGATATTCTTTGAATAATAATGGAAAACACTATGACATGTCAGAGATTCTCTGAAAATAGGGAAAACGCTTCCATTGAAATACACCTTTCTTTTTCTTTAGATTTTATTTTATCCAGCTTCAGACACTATATATATATGAGAGATAAAGCAAATGGTCCTCAGTGCTTTTCCTTCCGTGTACCTTTCTGATTATATTATCTATCATTTTCATATACTTTTCTATCATTTTCAATGGCAGCTAAAAATTCATTATCTTATCTCCCAAATGATATATTAGCTAAGATTTTACGTTGCACTACTTCTAATTCTATTGAGGACTTTCTTCACATTCGTTTAACTTGTTGGGACTTTTTCTTGGCATCAAATTACATATTCATATTTGCAAATGTTTAACTCTATCGGTATGCCTTGAAACCTTTGGATCATTCTGAATGGCTGCTCGTACGAAATTTTTCTCAGTTTCGTACATCAAAAAGATTCCTCAAACATATTGTTCATGTGATGGCACGTTTAGGGGTTGCTTTTATTGTTTCTGGAATCGTGAAAGCAATATTGTAATGGATTTTGTTCTTAGTAGGACTAATTAAATTCAATATGAGATTTGTTATAGATATGAACTATGAAAATAAAAAACCATAAACATTACATTAAACAACAAACTATTAAACATGACATGAAGCATACCAAACCAATGAACTAGAAATACCACACATCTTTCATAGACCTTAAACATCATAAAAAACTTACTTTATATAAATACAGAATAACGAAACAAAATAAGAGGTAAAAACCAATTAAGAGGAAAAATCTTACTTCATATAAATATATAATAAAAAAATAAGAGGCAAATACATAACAAACAAACAATAAATAAAAAGATTGCCATGGTTGTCAGATTCATCGATGTCTCATGGCATGTGTTTCACATAGTGGTGGTCATCTACTTCTGGGAGGGTTTATTCTTATATGTTGCTCATTGTCGTCGTCAACATCCTCCTCCTCGCAATTATCATCCTCATCCTCCTCGTCATTATCGTCCTTATCCTTATCCACGTCATCCTCATCGTCATCATCACTCAACAATATTGTCTCGATAAGTGTTGAATATCGATGTATGATCTCTTTAGAATAAGAATCATGGAGATGTATGACTGACGATCCCATCACTCACTGAGAATTGCGAAAATTGTAAAAAATCGGACATCAATGTCTACGACGCATATTGCGGTTAAGGTGTTTGTGGTGGAGGACCACTCGCAAGATAATTCACGTAAGAACTAAATGTCGGATCTGTAAGCATAGTTGAAAAATATCCTTTAATGGGTGTTATAAAACCATGCAGGCTTTATGAGTAGCCATATGGTGGTGCCATCTGAATCGACAGATATGTAATCTGGACTTACGGATGTGGCCTTTGAACCAGCTATGGTGGAGTCTGAAAGTTAAGTAGTGTCCCCATGTAAATTAGAGGGTTCGGTATGTAAACCTATGTCATTGGCTGCTGGTGTGATGGCTCCATTGTCATAGCTGAGGATGACCCGAACGCACTGCCTCTTCATCTAGTAGTGGGGGAACGATGTTTTAACGTTAGATGTTTTTTCGGCGACGATGAATTGCCACCCCTCATGCTTCTGCTGAAAGTAAGAATGGCTTCCTGTTTGCATTGAACCATTCAATATAACAATCTAAAATCATCGAACTAGTTTTTATTATATATTATCGCTGAAGCAAGCGTTTGTTTCGGTTCTCCCACTTCGCCAACCAATATTCACCTCTTTCTTGCCTCGTCTATCGATATTATGCATATTGTCAAGGTTCCTTGGTACTTCTGGAATATATTTTGTAAACCCAAACTGATGAAGCACGCGATCAGTCGGATGCCACTGAACAATAGTATAACAAATAAGGGGCACAACCACCACTCATACATCTAATAACACACTCAAGTTAGGTGGGATGCAAACCCTCAATTTTTCATCCAAATATTACAACCATTTGAACTAAAACAAAAATATATATTTCTTATAAAAATTAAAATGAGATTCAAATTATATAAATACAATTAAATAAAAAAATTAAAAATTAAAAAACGTACCTCTACACCAGCTATCTGGTCAATGACTAATCAGATATCTTGCGATTCATTTAGGATATCACGATGTTTTTTTTCTAGTACTTGACCACCTATTTAATAATATATATATATATGCCATTATATAATAATAAAAAACATTATTTAAAAATAAATTTAGTATTAATACCTTGATAGTAACAAAAAGGAAATTGGCTCATTCACGAACGAACACAAAAAATGCATGCGATACTTTGCCCATGATTGGAGCAACATGAGATACCCGCAAATAATAGTCTTCTTATAATTCATAGCCCAACACATTTCTCTAAACAAAAATGTAAACACTGCAGACCCCCAACTCAATGAGTCGACTACTTCAAAATCGATCAAGTGCCTCAACCACATACAATGGACCTGGTTCCGAGATTTGTTGGGCACCAATATACCTCTAATGAGTTGTAGTATATATGCCCGGACAAATTATTTTGCCTCATCCTCCGAACAAATTTCGCGTAACTATTTAAATTCACTTTTTAGCCACCCTAATTTATTCAGCCACCGTTGAAACTGGGTGGACAACTTCCAAGATACTCCCTACATAAACCCCCAATCATCATCTTCCACACCAAAAATGGCAGTTCCATTGACCGAGAGCCCCAATTGCATTGAAACATCCTCCAGCATAATGATACACTCCCTACATGCTAGATGGAACGTGTGTGTCTCTGGCTGTCATCTCTTAATTACTGCATAAATTAGGGCGGGTTCAAGTTTACAACCTCCTTTAATTTTCTCTAGGTAACCAAATCCAACCATAGATAAATAACGTCATATACGTCTCGGTGTTTTCATCTTCTTTTTGCGAATAAAAACTTCTAATATCCGATCAGTTTCCTAATAAATAAATTCTAACCATTAATATTTTAACTAATACTTTAAAACTATTTAAATAAATTCTAATAATTTAATTAATATATACTCAATTTCATAATATTCATAAATTTAAAAAGAATATAGTTTCGTATTCTTACCATATCAACAAAATGACTCGAAATATGATCAGCATTTTATCACAACATCGCGCCTTCTATTTTTTTAACTGTAATTAATAAATATTAAGTAAATAAGTTTACAATTAAATAATCAAATGTTAAATAAAAAATAATACAAAATTATTGAATAAAATAATTAATTACTAAAATAATAAAAATTTTGATAAATGAAAAAAATGATAAAAATACTTATACATTAGTTTATATAAGAAATAGATAGGAAGAATGGAAATTTTAGTGTGATTAATGTGAGGTGGAGAATGAGTTTATATAGGCAGTCGGTTGAGGATATAAGAGGTAAATACAAACGGGAATTCGGGGGGGGGGGAGGCTCCTAGGCATGCGCCTTCCAAGGGTGTCAGAAAACTCCGATAAAGTGCACCCCAGGTAATGTGCCTTCCAGGGGTGTCGATATTCGATTAGTGCGTTTAACTGAAAGCGCCTTAGCCTTAAGGCGTGTTTCGTTGGGTGCGCCTTATCTCTCTCGTGTTAGATCGGGTATTATTTTTGAATTGGTGACTGATATGTATTTTTTTGGGATGATTTTTTGGTCAAAAAAATCCCTTTTTCAAACTCCATTATCATAATTGTTAGAGTAAATTATATAAATTATCTTTCAACTTTCTTCTCAATCTTATTTTGATCACTAAAGTTTAAAAGATTCAATTTGATACTTTACCTTTCGAGTTACTCTTGTTTTAATACTCAATCTTTTATCTATTTAGGCATGTGTTGACTTGGTATTTCTCTGTACTAATTTTTAAATTGGTCTTCGCGCCAACTATTGTTGTCGATGACTATTAAAATTAAATTTTTAGATTAGCGTATTTTGATCCCTCAAATCCGAATTTGACCCTCATTCTACTTAAATCCATAAAACATCATCTAAATATTAAACCCTAAATCTCAATAAAAATTAAATCATAAATCATAATCAAACCATAAACCTCGTAACTTATTTCTGCCATAAATCTCACGTTTTCCCTTAACGCTCTAGTGGTGAGATGGAGAATCCCAATGGTAAAAAGGTGGATGTCGGTGAGGATAAAAATATATCTAAAATATGTGGTGACATGACAATCAAATGCTTAGACAAGTGAAAGAGAACGTCAAAGTTTTAGGATACTTTTTGAGCCTTTGTGGAGTTTCTAATTAAACCAAAATACTTATAGATGTAGAAAATATGAATCGATTGATATTATTGTTGGTCGAAAATGATGTCAGACAATGACGGTTCGATGGACTGAAATTTTCGAATGATGGATTCATAGAACTTGAGGTATTTTCAACTAAATTGACACTAAATTCATATTCAGAAGGGAAAGGCGAGTTTGAAGGAAAAGTTTAGATTCATCAAACTCCAATAAAATTAGTCGAAGGTGGTTAGAATGACTGTCCGCAGGATCAAGGACGGAGAGCCATTGGGCCCCGACCCTTGTTATAATTTAAAATTTTAACTTTTAGTATTGTTAAAAGAATTGGGTAAACTACAAGTTTAGTATCTAAATTATTATTTTTGTTCTATTTTGATACCTATAATTTATTTTTTTAAACCATACCTAACATGGGTATGCACTTGGCCACCTATAAGCCAAGTGCATTCACCCATGTACCTATCATTAAAAAATTAACAAAATTGTTGACATGCTATATTTTTTTTATTTTTCAATCATGATGTGTGATTATCTTTTGAAACTTAAACTAAAAGTTAGGTATATTTGAAAAAAATAAAACTTTCGTACAAAAACAAAATAAAAATAATAGTTTAATTACTGAACGTGTAGTTTACCATAAAAAATTACAGAGTAATAAGCTGTAAAGTCTTCGTTCTTCTAACATAAAATATTGCGATAGAACTATCAACTTCACAACAAAAGTAAGCTTATTCTACTATGATTGTCAAATAATTATTAAAGTGATCCAAATTTAATTGAGTGACAATTTTTAAAGGTAAACAATTAAGCAGTAGTATATTTATTAATTGGAGTTGTTTGATCTTATATTTGATTTTAGTATATTTAGTACAATATCTCTCGTGAACGTATTTTGAAATTTGAAGGAGTGATGTATATTAAATATGCCTTTGACACATTTTAAAATTGTATATTTTTTCAATATTTAGTTTAATTTTATTTCTAATTTTATATTTGTTATTTCTTAGAAATGATAAACTAATATGCATATTTTATATTATAATGTATATTTTTAATATAAATAAATAATAAAAATTATATATATAAAACTTAAAGCCTTTAAAAAAATCTTATCTTTGTTAAGATTAAGTTCTAGCTCTGTTCCTGAGCAAGATGACTAAAATATGAGTTTGATTTAAACTGAGGGAGAGAAAATGAGAAGAAGAAGAAGGAAATGAGATAATATGGAAAATGAAGAGAAAGAATTTTTTTATAGAGATCTAAACTAACATCATTTTGGTTAATATTTGGTTTTCTCTAAAGATCCAAAACGACATCGTTATGGTGTAAATTGTCATGTTATAACTTCATTAATTATTTAACGGTAGAGTGACTAACGCATGAGCAATTCGAAATTTGAGTGATCAAATGAAAATTTATAAGCTTAAGTGATCAAAATAGGATTGAGAAGAAAGTTGAGTGAAGAAAAAAGTAATTTACCCTAATTATTAAGGATTTTATTAAAGAATCTCATATTTACCTAATTTTTTCTTTTACCCTATTTTTCTTGGTAGCGAGTGATTCAGATCTGACTCTAATTATATATTAAATTAAGTTTAATCAATAGATAAAGTTTTCTCAAACATATTTTTTAATTTGAATCCATTATCTTAAATTAATATATATTATTGTCTATCACGTGATCGCGCTTGCAAGAGAAAACAAATTGTAATGGTGTGATTATATAATACACTCTGGTTAGTTGTATTGATATGTGTATTGTAGGTGTACGTACATGTTTATTTAAAAATGAATATAAATTAATAAAATTCTTTTATGTTTAAATTTAATAATAGAACTTGTTATAGTTTGAAAATTTTAAAATATAAAAAATCCTGTGTTAGGGTTTCTCTGTTGCTTGAGACGTTTTCTCTACCACTTTTTGACACATCTATTGGGTTGTGATTTCAGTTTTCTTTTATTTTTCTCTTTGTTTTCGTGGTGTTAGTGTGTTTTCCTTGCTTTGAGTTTGCTTTTCAGATTTATCATGGGTGAAAGTGAACACGAATTAGAGAACCTGAATTTGGGAGTGGATGAAGATGAGGTTTTGACTTTGGAACAGCCTGCTGTCCCACGATTATATCGTTTGAACATTGTTTTGTGGAACATTTGCTCACAACTAGTACAGTGAATTTTCAAGTGATGCGGATCACGCTGGCGAATGTATGACATCCGATTAGGGGTATCTCGATAACTGAATTGGGGGAAGGCCATTTCTTATTCTGATTGTATCATGAGGTGGATGTGGAACGCATTGAATCGGAAGGACCATGGTATTTTAATTCTCACCTTCTCATTTTATATCGGATGCAGCAAGGTCATAACCCAAAGTTAGTGCATTTAAATAGTGTTAATTTTTTTGGTTTTGGTGAATGATTTGCCAGTTGGTTTTATATCAGAATAGGTTGCGCGACAATTTGAGAATTTCTTGGGTCCACAATATGACTCTACTGCGATCTCTTTAGGGTACAAATGATGTATTCATGTAAAGGTGGCTTTAGATGTTAGGAAGCCCCTTAAGAGGAGGAGAAAATTCTCTCTACCATCGAATTCGTTTATATATGCAGTTTTCCGATACGAAACGTTGAAGCATTTTTGTTTTTTGTTTTGGAAGCTAGGACATTGGAAGAATTTATGCCCGTTTTGTGTCTCAAAGTTAAGGAGTTAATAGTTCAATGAGATTTTTCTATTCGGACACCGCCGTGGAGGATTTCAATTGGGAGTAGTCCTTGGTTACGAGGAGATTCTGTTGGTGATGGTCAGATTTCTATCCAACTGAATGGTGGGATGAGGAACGATGTGGTTGGCTCAAGCAAGGGTGGTCACACAAAGGCATTAGTAGAGAGGAATTTTGGAGGAAATAGTGGGGCTCCAACGCTGAAGGAAGGATTGGATATAGTTATGGTGGCAGCTAAGGAGGAGAGTCCCTTGAGTAAGCAAGAGACTGCAAAAAGACAACGGAGTATTCCAGCAACTTCGGGAGCTATTTCTGAAAATATGACTGGAATTCATCATTATCAACATGCCTGAATGCACATGCCAGTAGAGAGCAATGACACTCTTAACCTGAAACATCCAGGGATTAGGAATGCCTAGACAGTGCGTCGTCTCAAATACCTGCTTAGAGTCACAAACCCATATGTGATTTTTTTTATGAAAACAAAACTACAAAATATGCGGATGGAAAAAGTTCAAAAGTCATGTGGTTTTTTGAATGGTATCGAAGTGGAACCCCAAGAGACTCATAGGGGTTTGTGTTTTGCGTGGAAATCGGTGTGTAATGTTGTTTTGCGACCTAGGTCTGGGTCACACATTGATGTTATTATTCGAGATATTAAGGGTTTTTAGTGAAGGTGTACTAGCTTTTATGGAGATCTAGAAGAGAACATGAGGTTGGATTCTTGAAATTTATTAAAGAGTCTGAATGATGCCCCGAATATACCCTGGATCATTATAGGAGATTTTAACGAAATTATGTTTTCGTTTCAAAAAGAGGGCAGGCTAATCCGTAGTGAGAGGCAAATGCCAGTGTTTTGTGATTATCAGACATTGGGTTCTCAGGTACGTGGTTTACTTGAGAACGTGGTACTCGTGACGCTTCGTCTATCTGGGAGTGTGATTAGATCGAGGTGTGACGAATGATTTATGGAATGAGTTGTTCTCTCAGTACTCCCTTCAACATCTTATGTATGCTTTTTCGAATCACTTTCCATTACTCTTCTCGCAATCGTCTTTCGGATGGGTCCGAAATTTAACTTCGACTTGAATGAAACGTGTTGAAGTCGCCACCGATCATTTAAAAAAAATTATTTAGGTTGATCGGATACCATCTTACATGATCTGTGTTTTACCAGAAATATGTCTTAATTACGAAAATTAAAAACTTAATTACGAAAATTAAAATTTAAAAATTCGATCATAATTATTTATCTTTTGATTAATTAAAATTATCCTAAAAATATCATAAATAAAGTTAAAAAAAATAAAACAAACAAAGAAAAAGAGTTAGTATTAAAAAAATAAAAATAAAAATAAAAGGAATGATTAAATTGGAAAGAATTAAAATTCATGGATCAAATTAATTCTAGGAATGAGCAAGAGAAAAAACATAAACTTAAGGGATTAAATAGCAAAGGGAAAAAATATTAAAGTACTAAAATAACATAAACTTAAGGGATTAAATAGCAAAGGGAAAAAATATTAAAGTACTAAAATAACATAAACAAAAAATTAAATGATTAAAATAGTATTAACAGAAACTAGAAGGACATAATAAATAAATATGAATAAATCAGAGCCTCAACAAACAATTTAAAATAAATACAGTTGCCCAAATTTGTAATAAAATCTAATTATGTTGACTAAAATGCAAGAAAATATAAAATAATAGCTAAATAAAAAATGAATAAGGATCCAAATGCAAAAATTAAAATAATCGGGGTAAATAAAAAACTAATAGTGACTAAAATAAAGGAAATGAAAGTTACAGACATAAATCATTACAAAATATAACATATTGGTGATCGAATTGAAAATAACGAAAATAAAGCGTCTAAAATAAAATAAAATAAAAACGTAGAGGTTCAGTGACTAGAATGTAAAAATAAGGTAATATTAAAGGGACCTGAACGTGATTAGACAAAAGGATTTGGGGGTCAATGTGTAAAAGCACTGCATAATTGGAAGGGCTTAAACATGAATAGACCAAACTTTAAGAGACCAACATAAAAGATAACAAGAAATTAAAGGATCCTGTGTAAGATTAACCCAAAATTAACATAAAAGCAATTCCCTTTTCTGATTTTCACTTCTGCCTGTGTTTTTAATCCCTAGATTTCTTCTCTCTTTGCTCAACACCACACGCACAACCATCTTATTCAAATAGCTAGAGTCATGGCACTTGGCCACCGGATATGGGTGGCTTCGAACCCAACAGCAACAAGGTAAGTTTTCGACCCCTCTTTGAATATTTTGCTTTTGATTCTAATTTTGGATTGCTGGAAAATTCTTTTTTCTCCGTATTTTTATTGCTGAAAATTCCCCCTTTTGTATGGTTTTCGGTTGGGTTATATACCCATTACAGAGGAAAGAAAAAAACAAACAATCATGGAGTAATACTAGCATGGGCACGACACGGGGACTTGCACAAGATGGGTGAGGCATTGGTGGTCGACAAGCATGGAACTAGTATGGGTGGTGGTGTGGGAGTGTGCTGATGTGCAGGGCATAAGCAGAAAAACCATGTCATTTAACCGGGTCGGATCTCGGGTCAGTTCGGGTGTTAGACCTCTTGAGTAAACGGGTTGACCTGGCCAAAAAGGGTGTTTACAGCTGCCCCTCTTTGCACATTTTTGTGTTAACAAGAATAGGCAAAGATGAAAAAGAGAACCAGTTTTTGTCCGGTTCTTCTTTTTTGGTTTTAGAAACTTGATAGTGTTTGATTTTGGGGACGACACTGCTCATACATGATGAAGAGTTCTGGTCGGTGGATGACAATGTTTGTTGTGACACTAAGTCGATCCATTGGGCACGATATCCTTCTATGTGAAGTTGAAATCGTGGACCTCTTGAGTGCAATAACCCTCATTGTGACGTTGAAACTGAGCTCAAAGCATTGACAAGTAGCTCCTGGATAGTCTTCTAGCCCAATATACTTTGTTGTGAAGCTGAAATTTGACCTGAATGAAACAAGTTTTTCATTTCTGTGTCATAGATGACTCATTCGTTGTGAAGTTGGGTCAATCTTTTGGGTACGATATCCTTCGTTGTGAAGTCGAAATCGTAGAGTGGCTCATTCGCTGTGAAGTTGAGCTTTAAATTGGATATCATTCGTCATGAAGTTTAAATCCAACCTTTCGAGTCCAATATCCTTCGCTGTGAAGTTGAAATTGACTTTGAATGAAACTGGGAAGCCCTTTCATTGTAAAGTTGAGCTTTGAATTGGATATCCTTCGTGATGAAGTTGGAATCCAATATAAGGACGGATGTTGTTTATGGACACGATATCCTTCGTTGTGAAGTTGAAATCGTGGATGGCCCATTCGTCGTGAAGTTGAGCCTCGAATTGGATATCATTCGTCATGAAGTTGAAATCCAATCTAAAGATGTTGCTGATGGACACGATATCATTCGTCGTGAAGTTGAAATCGTGGATGGCCCCTTCATCGTGAAGTTGAGCCTCGAATTGGATATCATTCGTCGTAAAGTTGAAATCCAATCTAAAGATTAATGTTGCTGGTGGGCACGATATCCTTCGTCGTGAAGTTGAAATCGTGGATGGCCCCTTCGTTGTGAAGTTGAGCCTTCAATTGGATATCGTTCCTCGTGAAGTTGAAGTTCAATCTTGAGTAAATTGCTTGTGGGCACGATATTCTTCGTTATGAAGTTGAAATCGTGGATGGCTCCTTCGTTGTGAACTTGAGCTTTGAATTAGATATCATTCGTCGTGAAGTTGAAATCCAATCTTGAGTAAATTGTCTCTTCGAGTCTAATATCCTTCGCTGTGAAGTTGATATTGACTTTTAATGAAACTGAAAAGTTGTTTGTTGAGTCCAATATCCTTCGCTGTGAAGTTGAATTGGCTCTGAAAGCTGCAAAAAATTATGTGTGCAAAAAATGATGAATGTGATGATCTTAAGTATGTCTAAGATGCATGCAATATGAATTAACTCTTGTTTTATCTCATGGGTGGAGTCTCGTGCTTTGTCTGCCGATCTGGTCCTTGGAATCGAGCATGCCCCATTTCTTCTTGGGTTGCAGCCTTTCACATTTGAGACTGTCTTGTTTGAAGAATGTTTTTCTTTTTCTTTTATTTTCAAAGTTATGAAAATATCAATTAAAAGAGTTTCAAAAAAATGTTTAATCAAAAGTTTTGAAAATATTGCCCTTTTCTCGGTTTTACAATTCAGAAAAATCATAAAACTAGAGTTCATTGGATATCAAAGAATTAATTACATTGTTAATCATTCAATAAATTATAGCTATTTGACAAGTGTCAAGATAAAAGTTATCTTTGGGAAATGGTTAAGTAAGGAAAGGATAAAAAGTATCAGGTTATTGTGTTTGGTCAAAGGTTTGACATTTTTGTTTGTTTGATGCTCAATGGTTTGATGGGGTAGCTTATATGCTCCTCTACTGGAAGTGTTCTCTGACTCCCAGCTTTCATGGTTACATTCGGATTGTGCAATGTCTTATCAAGGAATTTATGCGATTGCCTCAGCTGTACTGTTTTTATATTCGATCCACCTTTTCAGGTTTTCAACTCGAATCCTCATTTGGTTTCAAATCATCATTCAAAATTTACGTCTTGAACCCCCCTTTGTTATTTTTATCTATCATGCATTGAAGATTTTAGTAAATCTTTTTGCAAATAAAGATTAATCCTGATGTGCGGGATGAAATCTGAATATAGTCTCTTCTGTTTAGAAATTCATGTATGATTAGAAGGGACTTTTTAATGCCCGTAATGTAGGACATGGTTCATGGTTATGAAAGAAAATGATAAATAGGCCCAAACAAGTGTTTCAAGGTATTGAACCAAGGATCAATTCATTCTGATGTCTTCAATCTTGTCTTGCTCAATTTGAATCTGTTTGTATGTCTCTCTCTCTTGATGCTCTATGATCTTCGAGTGAAGTGATTTTGGAATAATTGTGCTTGATCAATCTCATAGTTTGAAGCTTGATGCGCCATTTGACTCGAGGGAATCTTTACGTATGCTTCTTGTTCATTTTTCTTTGTTTATTTTCTTTTTGCTTCTTTCTTTTTTTATTTATGTTCTTTGTTTTTCTTTCTGCTTTGATTTGATCTTTGCACTTGGCGTTTGGTTCACCTTTCGGTATCTCCTTTGATTTGATGTCTTCACTCATACAAGCAGATTTCCTCCACCTTGCCCCCAATGTGGAGGGTGATCCTTGGTTAGGGTTGAATCAAAGAAAAAATATTATAGGCTCAAAAGGGGACAACAAGGGATATATATATATATATAT